GGATTCGGTTTGTTCTTATTGTTCTTACGGGGCTTAACTCAGATAGCGTTAAGTGGTAACCTGAAACGAGGAGGAGCACCGCCACCGCCACCCGCAACCAAGAGATCTTCAATATCTTTCATTTTGTTCGGGGAGAAATGAAAGAAGAAGGTCTGGGGCTTGGCTGCCGACCGTTGGGGCGTTGTCAAGTTTTTCTTGCTTCGACCCATGTTCTGGGGACAATCACGAGTCAAGAACTCAGGACACAGTGGCATTATATAAAACCTTAAAATTAAGTAACCAAAATTTACATTTAACCTCTTTTTTAAATGAAAGCCCATTGATGTTTTCGTTTATTATTATTATTATTATTATTACCAGTGGTCATGCCATGCTTTGCGCAGCTTTGCTAAAAACATAAGTTCGTATAATAATTGTTATGGTTTTGTATTTTTGGATGAAGATTGTTATAGTACTCTTTAACTTTTATATATAAATTTCATATCTAATTTTTACGTAAAATTTTAATTGTTCATTTTTTAAATAAATAATTAAAATTTATCAACTTATTTTTTTTTTCACATAAAACGTCATTATAAATTTTAATTATTAATATTGAAGATTAAATTGGGCTTTAGAATGTAAGATTGTTGGTCCATTTAGTTGAGCTTTAAAATATACTTTACTGGGCATTTTAAAAGTATTTTAGTGAACACAATTTTTAATTTAGTAGAAATAATTAAAATTTTAAATGACAAAAAACCACTTGGGCTTTAAAATACAAAATTATTGGCCCATTTAGTGGGCTTTAAAATACACTTTATTGGGCATTTTTAAATCATTTTTGTGAACACAATTTTTAATTTAGTAGAGATTTTTTTTACCTTTAACCTTTTGAAGAGAAAATAATACAAATTTTAGTGAATTTCATGGGGTGCTCACCCAAATTTGTTAAAATCAACATTTTGGTCAATCAATTTAGAAACCAAACAAAATCATCAGTCAACCTTTTAAGTTGTTCATAAATTAGTCACCCATTCTATAGACTCATAGAAATGTCAAATACTAGAAAAAAGCTACAAGTTATTATTCAGTTTTTCTTTTCTTTTCTTTTCTTTTCTTTTCTTTCTTTTTTTTTTTTTTTTTTTTTTTTTTTTTTTGTAGTTTGGTTGAATGTATCCACTATACAAATTATATATCTTAATAGAGTTGTAACTATTGATTTATCATTCAATAAATTATGAGAATTTATTCACTTGTTTACTTTCATATTGGTTTGGTATGAAAGCTGCTTTGAACATAAATTGGCTGTGCTCAAATTATTGGTACGACAAATTGAATTACACATGGCATGGTATATGATATCTGATTTTGTTTTCAAGCTTTATACATATTTATGGACATTAATTGGTATGCACTCTAATTCACTACAATGCACAACATACTCATTAAAAAATTATTATTTTTTAGTATGAAAATAAAAGTAGACAAACTTAAAAATATAATTATACATTAAATTGATTATACTTACATTATATTTTAATAGTTAAACTAAAACAAATGTAAAAAAATGTGTTGAACTAAGGGTATATTAATCATTTTCCTTATAGGTTTGGAGCTATGGATTAAGCTTTTAATTCTATAAATTTTGGTCCGCCTTCAAACATCAGTTTTGATGTTTAATCCAATGTTGACAATTGTTGCCAGAAATTTTCTTCTTTAATGTTGAGGTTACGATGTACAGGAATATTTTCCTACTGTTGGTGTTAGATTACAATTGCTAATAAGGTTATGAGTGGCCACCAATTAGGGAGGTTATAACTTCACATACATGTGAGATTTGGACAATAACTAAAGCCATAAGCCTCCACTACGTTAAAGCCACACCAAAGCCCTTGCTCATTTATAACCATGCATTAGGATAGCGTCACTCTGTCTCAAGCAAAACCAGGCGTCGAAATCCTGTCACCCATCGAGAAAAACAATAAAATCACGATTCCTGATAAACCTTACTAAATTAGGGATGCATTTGAGATTGATTTGCCATAGTGTTTTTTCATACAGCACTTTATAAAAGTGTTAACTTATTATAATTAAATTAATTTTAATTGAAATTTTGAACATAATTTAGTTGTCATATTAATATATAGAACTCTTTGCATATCAATTATTGAACAATAATATAATTTTTTTCATAATAAAATATTAAAAAAATCATAGGCACAATACTTAACAACAATCCCCAATAGAAGATCTCATCACCTATCACATGACCAATGCTAAACCAAACCAAAACCAGAGCCCCAAATATACGGTATATCGTAAAACACGGTTCAGTAGTGAGGACTCTTAGCGTCAAACCCCTAAAAAAGTTTGGGCTGATGCAAAAAATTGAAATTGAGATATTAAGTCAACTATATGACCCCCTTTATTGGTAAGTTATAAGCACAAAAGGAAGGTAATTCTTTTACTTTTTGTTCTTATCTTTGATACATGACCCGAATCCAAAATCATTATTTCTAAGAGAAAGTAGATTACCATTGCCTAAAAAGGCAAATAGGCAACCTTAAATTGATTAGATTTTTTAATAAGAAAACTTTTTAGTTATATATGTATAAGAGAATGTTGTAATGCAGTTCGTTTTATATAAACGCCACTTTACTTTTCTATATGCCTAATTCTTTAAAAAAAAAAAAAAAACACTATTTATGTATAATTAACTGTCATGACTAATTTCAAGTACTTTTGAAAGGAATAATATTTTGACAAAAGAAGGCATTATTAAAATTTGAAATAGAAAAAA